GGAGAAACACAGAGAGTCAAGATGTACCGCCATGGGGTAGGAAGCCCGGAAACTTCTCCGGGAGGAGATATAGTGAGATTACAATTATGGGATAATTACTTAAGTCAGAGCTAGCCAGTAAGAAACAAGCAAGGCCAACAGCTTCATGATTAATATAGCCTCCTGTGTGTTGATTTGGGACTGATGCGGCTCTAGAACCAGGCTGGCAGGAAGGCTTCTCTTAAGGACAAAGCTTCCCTTTACAATATATCATTCCAGTTCCCTCTCCCTCCCATCCTTCCATACTTCCCACCTACCCCCATCCCATCCCTCTTCTGTTCCATAGAAAGGGTGAGACCTTCCATGGGGGATCATCAAAGTCTGTCACATCATTTGGGGCAGGGCCTAGGCCCTCCCCCATGTGTCTAGGCTAAGAGGGTATCCCTCTATGGGGAATGGGCTCCCAATGTCCATTCGTACACTAGGGATAAATACTGTTCCACTACCAGAGGCCCTATAGACTGCCCAGCTCTTCTAACTGACACCTATGTTCAGGGGGTCTGGTTCTGATCTATGCTGGCTTCCGAGCTGTCAGTCTGGGGTCCATAGGTTCCCCCTTATTCAAGTTAGCTGTTTATGTGGGTTTCCCCAGCCTGGCCTTGACCCCTTTGCTCATCCCTTTTCCCTCTCTACAACTGGATTCCAGGAGTATGGTTCAGTGCTTAGCTGTGGGTGTCTACTTCTGCTTCCATCAGTTACTGAATGAAGGCTCTAGGATGGCAATTAAGGTAGTCATCATTCTCATTATAGGGGAAGGGCATCAAAGGCAGCCTCTCAACTACTGCCTAGGTTCTTAGTTATGGTCATCTTTATGGATTTCTGAACATTTCCCTAGTGCCAGATTTCTCTTTAAACCTATACTGGCTCCCTCGATTAAGGTATCTCCTTTGTTGTTCTCCTCTATTCCTCCCTTGATTCAATCTTCCTGATCCCTCTTGTTCTCCTGCCCCATCCTCGTCTCCCCTTCTCCTTTTCCTACCTTCCCCACTCTCCCCCCCATGCTCCCAATTTGCTCAGAAGTTCTTGTCTCTTTCCCCTTCTTTGGGGGACCATGTATGTCTCTCTTAGGGCCTCCTTGTTTCCTAGCTTCTTTGGAGGTGTGTATTGTTGGCCGGTATTCCTTTGCTCTATGTCTAATATCCATATATGAGTGAGTACATACCATGTTTGTCTTTTTGTGATTGGGTTACCTCACTCATGATGGTTTCTTCTAATTCCATCCATTTGCATTCGAATTCCAAGATTCCATTGGTTCCCCCCCCGCCGCCCCCCGCTGAATAATACTACATTGTGTAAATGTACCACATTTTCTCCATCCATTCTTCAGTTGAGGGATATCTAGGTTGCTTTCAGCTTTTGGCTATTACAAATAATGCTGCTATCAACATAGCTGAACAGATGTCCTTGTATGAATGTGCATCCTTTGGGTATATGCCTAAGAGTGGAATTGCTGGATCTTGAGGTAGACTGATTCCTATTTTTATGAGGAACCGCCAGACTGTTTTCCAAAGCAAATGTACAAGTTTGCACTCCCAACAGCAGAGGAGGAATGTTCTCCCTTTCTCCACATCCTCTCCAGCATAAACTGTCCTTGCTGTTTTTGATTTTAGCCATTCTGAGAGGTACAAGATGGTATCTCAGAGTTGTTTTGATTTGCATTCCCCTGGTGGCTAAGGATATTGAGCACTTTCGTGCCTTTCAGTCAATTTTAGATTAGGCTATTGAGAATTATCTGTTTAGTTCTGTAGCCCAATTTTTAATTGAATTGTTTGGGGTTTTGGTGACTAGCTTCTATTTTTGTGCCAATACCAGGACTATAGCTCTATTCTAGAGCTTGAAGTCAGGGGTAGGGATACCTCGGGAAGTTTCTTTATTGTACAGTGTTGTTTGGCTATCCTGGGTTTTTTGTTTTTCCATATAAAGTTAAGTATTGTTCTTTCAAGCTCTGTGAAGAATTGTGCCAGTATTTTGATGGGGATTGCAATGAATTTGTAGATTGCTTTTGGCAAGATTACAATTTTTACTATGTTGATCATACCTACCCAAGAGCATGGGAGATCTTTCCATTTTCTGATATCTTCTTAACTTTCTTTCTTTAAAGACTCAAAGTTCTTGTTATACAGGTCTTTCGCTTGTTTGGCTAGCATTACCCCAAGATATTTTGTGTTGTTTGTGGCTATTGTAAAGGGTGATGTTTCTTTGATTTCTTTCTCTGCCTGTTTATCATCTATATATAGTAGGGCTACTGATTTTTTTAGTTAATCTTGTATCCTGCCACTTTGCTGAAGGTGTTTATCTGATGTAGAAGTTCCTTGCTAGAATTTTTCAGGTAACTTATGTAAACTATCATATCGTCTGCAAATAATGAAAGTTTGACCTCTTCCTTTCTCCTTGATTTCCTTTTGTTGTCTCATTGCTCTAGCTGGTTCTTCAAGTACAATTTTGAAGAGATAGGTAGAGAGTGGACAGCCTTGTCTTGTTCTTGATTTTAGAGGAATTGCGTTGTTTCTCTCCATTTAGTTTATGTTGGCTGTTGGTTTGCTGTATTTTGCTTATATTATGTTTAGGTATGTTCCTGTTATCCATGATCTCTCCAATACCTTTATCATGAAGGGGTGTTGGATTTTGTCAAAGACTTTTTCAGCATCTAGTTTGATGATCATGTGGTTTTTCTTATTCAGTTTGTTTATATGATGGACTACATTGATGGATTTTCATATGTTGAACCATCCCAGCATCCCTGGGATGAATCCTACTTGATCATGGTAGATGATTTTTCTGATGTGTCCTTGGATCTGATTTGCCAGTATTTTTTTTTTGGTTTTTACGAGACAGGGTTTCTCTGTATTGTTTTGGAGGCTATCGGTCCAGCCTGGCCTCAAACTCACAGAGATCTGCCTGCCTCTGCCTCCCGAGTGCTGGGATTAAAGGCATGCGCCACAACCGCCCGGCTTTGCCAGTATTTTATTGAGTATTTTTGCATCAATGTTCATGAGGGAAGTCAGTCTGAAGTTCTCTTTCTTAGTTGTGTCATTGTGTGGCTTGGGTGTCAAGGTAATTGTAGCCTCATAGAAATAGTTTGGCAATGACCCTTCTGCTTCTATTGTGTAGAACACTTTGAGACGTATTGGTATTAGCTCTTCTTTGAATTTCTGGGAGAATTCTGCACTGAAATCATCTGGCCCTGGGTTTTTTTGGTTGGGAGATTTTTGACTGCTTCTATTTCATTGTGGGTTATAGGTCTATTTAAATTGCATTTCTGTTCTTGATTTAATTTTGGTAAGTGGTATCTATCCAGAAAATTGTCCATTTCCTTTAAATTTTCAAATTTTGTGAAGTACAGGTTTTCAAAGTATGAATGGGGTGTTGAAGTCTCCCACTATAAGGTTTTATGTGTGATTTGAATTTTAGTAATGTTTCTTTTATGAATATGGGTACCTTTGTATTTGGGGCATAGATGTTCAAAATTGAGACTTTAGATGTTTTTTTGGTGGATGAATGTATTTTTCCTAGTGTATCGCCAATGCCTGAGATTCTCTCTTCTATCTCTTGTATTCTGTTGATTATGCTTGCATCTATACCCAGCTTTTCTATTTCCAGCATTCTCTCAGACTGTGGGGTTTGTTTTGTCTCTATTTCAGCTTTCAAGTCTTGGACTGTTTGAATTTTTCCCTTAACTTTTTTCATTGTTTTTTTCTTGGCTCTCCTTATTTTCTTTAAGAGATTTGTTTATTTCTTGCATTTTTTGGTTTGTCTTTTCCTCCATTTCTTGAATTTTTTGTTTTTTCTTCCATTTCTTTAAGGAATTTTCTCATTTCCTCTTTAAGGATCTCTATCATCTCCAGAAAGTTGTTTTTAAGTCATTCTCTTCTGTTTCATCTGTATTGGGATGCTCAGGTCTTGTTGGTGTAGAGTCCCTAGACTCTGGTGACATCATATTGGTCTTTCTGTTGTTGAATATGTTCTTACATTGTTGTCTTCCCATCTCTTCTTCCAGTGGGTGCCAATGGGTCTCTCCCTCTCCTGGTGGGAATGGGTCTAAGGTTCTCTTCTGGTGGGTGCAAGCAGGTCCTATACTCTGATGGCTCTCCTCTTCCCATGGGTGAAAGTAGAACTAGCACCTTGATGTAGGCAGACTCTGAATGGCTTGGTCTGCTGGAACTGGTTCACCTAAACACAGTTCTGGGGGCCAGGAGAGTCCAAGAAGCATGGCCAAACATTTAAACACATGAGTCTGTGGGGCCATTTCCATTCAAACTATCATAGTGATATTGTTAGGTTTAGGGTTAAGATAAGTGTCTTAGTTACTTTTCTGTTGTTATGATAAAAATTATCTCAAAGGCAACTCATAAAGGGAAGGGTTATGGTTAGGATTTAGTGATATGGTTAATACTAAGACAGTTTTGAGTTACAGTTGAGGTTAGGGTATGATTAATATTAGGGTGAGTGTTACAGATTGTGGTTTAATTAGGATTAGACTTAGGGTAGGCTTATTTATTTATTTATTTATTATTTTTATTATAGGAGCCAGGAGTGGTGGCATGCTCATTTAATTCCTGCACTTGGGAGGCAGAGGCAGTCAGATCTCTTAGTTCAAGGCCAGCCTGGTTTACAGAGCGAGTTCTAGAACAACAAGGACTACACAGAGAAACCCTGTCTTAAAAAAAACGAACAAACAAAAAGAATACAGTTGGATGTGGCCACACTCCTTTAGTCCTAGTACTTGAGAAGCAGAGGAAGACAGATTATGTGTGGGTTTGAGGTCTGACTTCTCTATATAGTGAGTTCCTGTCCAATCTGGGCTAAATAATGATATGCTGTCTCAAAAAAGCCTAACCATAAGCCTAACTTACTGCCTTAGTTAGGGTTACTATTGCTGTGATGAAACACTGTGACCAAAGGCAACTTGGGGAGGAAAGAATTTATTTCACTCACAGTTCCATATGACAGTTCATCATTTAAAACAGTGAGGGCAGGAACTCAAGCAGGGCAGGAACCTAGAGGCAGGAGGCAGAGGAGATGGAGGGTGCTGTTACTGGCTTGCTCAGCTTGTTTTCTTATAGAACCCAGAGCCACCACCACAGGGGTGGCACCACCCACAATGGACTGATCCCTACACTAAGGATTACTAGTTTAAAAAAACGTCCTACAGGCTTGCCTATAACCCAGTATTATGGAGTCATTTTCTCAATTGAAGTTCCTGTATGCATATAGGTTGACAATGTGTTCACTGGTTCACATACACACATGCATTTTCTAGTTCTGTCATTGGTCAACCTGTATACATACATTCACATGCATGCAGTTTTTGTTTGTTTGTTTTTTGTTTTTTGGGTTTTTTTGTTTCTTTGTATTGTTTTGGAGGCTATCGGTCCAGCCCAGCCTCGAACTCACAGAGATCTGCCTGCCTCTGCCTCCCGAGTGCTGGGATTAAAGGCATGCACCACCACCGCCCAGCTACATGCATGCAGTTTTAAAGCATGGTCATATGCTGGCACGTAAGTGCATGTTCACAAGCAGGGATTATTTTGTATGGCCACATGTCAGTGTGTACAGGCATGTTCTTACACATGCACTTTCCAATCCCTGTCATATGTTGGCATATATTTACATGTTCCAATACATACTGTCTGATCATTCACATATGGCAGCATGTTCACACATGTTTATGGTCATGCAATTTTGAGCATTCTCATATGGTTTACATAGAGTTTCAGGCATGCCAGGTTACATGAGATTCTGTCTCCAAAAAAAGAAAGAAAGGAAGAAAGAAAGAAAGAAAGAAAGAAAGAAAGAAAGAAAGAAAGAAAGAAAGGAAGGAAGGGAGGAAGGAAGGAAGGAAAAGTTTGGGCCTGAAAATGTAGCTAAGTTCATAGAAGGTTCCCTTGCATACATGACATCCTGGGTTTGATCTTCAGCCCTGCATAAATCAGGTGTAGTGGCACATACTTGCAATCCCAGCACTAGAGAGGTAGACAGCAGGACCATGAATTCAAGTTCATCTTTGGCTATATATATTTGAGGCCAACCTGAGCTACACGAGGTTGTTACGATCTTTTCTTCAAGTTTTAAGCATTAAAGACACCATCGAGAATAAAAGCAACCACGGTTAGAATAAAGGCTTGTACATCAAGTATCTGATAAGGAATATGGTTCTTAGAGATTATCACAGGGAGATCTCAAATGTGAGACCAGTTTCTGATATATACTAAGTACCAGGCCAGCCAAGAGCTACATAGCAAGATCATCTCAAAAAAGAAACAACAACAACAAACACACACAAACAGGGAGATAAGGCTCAGTGGTAAAGAGCACAGAGTACCTACAATATGACATAATCAGTAACAGACATGGTGCTGACTCTGTACAGTACAAAATTAACCTCACTAGTGGGAGGCAGCTACATGTCACTTCTACCACCTCTGATCCTCTGATGTCCCAAAAGAATCACAGCAATATTTCCAAAGTGTCCTCACTGCAATGTGAGCTTGCACTTAAACACAAAGAGACCTCAGACAAACCCACTTTGAGATGATTTTATTAGACAAATGATCTGTGCTCTTCAACAATATCAATGCCATGCAAGATGAAGAAAGGCCTGGGAGCTGCTGCAGACCAAAGGAGTTTAAAGACATGGCAATTCAACAAAGCTGAACTCTGATGAAACGAAGAAGCCAGAGGGACACTGAGACAATGGCAACACTGGGTATGAATTATCAATCACACAGCACTGTTACTGGTTTGGGGGTGTGACATAGAGGAATGTTGGCTTAGTATGCACAGAGTCCTGGATTGGAACCCCAGTACTGCACACCTGCAATAACAACTCAGGAGGAGACAGAATCAGAATCTCAAGGTCATCTAGAAAGGTGGGAGAGGTGGCTTAATGGTTAAGAGTACTAGCTATTCTTCCTGAGGATCCAAGGTTGGTTCCCAGCACCTACATGGAAGCTCACAATTACTTGTAAGTCCAGCTCCAAGAGATCTGACTCTTCTATGGTCTCTACAGGCACCCACCTACATATTAGTAAATAAATAAAAATAATTTTAAAAAGTGAACTTGATACTAGCCTCTCTCTCGACTCTAGGAGTTGACTTTTTTCTTTGAGTATTGTTATCAATATTACATTGATTGAACTTGTTAACCTAGTTTGTTTTCTTTGCTGTGATAAAACACTGACCAACACAACTTGGGAGAGGAAAGAATTGATTTGGTTTATAGGTTACAGTTCATCATTGAGGGAAGCTAAGGCAGAAATCTGGACTCAAGAACTGAAGTAGATACTATGTAGCAACACTTCTTACTGGCTTACTTCCCAGGGCTTAATCAGTTTTGCTATTTTACACAGCCCCAAACCACCAGTTCAGGGGTGGCACTGCACACATCATTCAACAACAAAAAATGCTCCCCACATATGCCTACAAGCCAATCTGGTGGGGGGCATTTTTCTCAATTAAGGTTCCCTTTTCCCAGGTGACACTAATCTTGTGTCAAGTTGACAGAATTAACCAGAGCAATAGCTATGATGGTGAAGGAAGACATGAGCCCTGCTCTTAGGAAACAAAGCCGGGAAGAAAATGCATACGGCGTGACACACACTGCACTCTCGGATGTTTCAGGTGAGAAAATGCATGCGGTGTGACATACACTGCACTCTCGATGTTTCAGGTGAGAAAATGCATGCGGTGTGACACACACTGCACTTTCGGATGTTTCAGGTGAGAGAAGACAGGGAAAGCACAGTTACATAGACGTGACCGCCTGCTAGGAACCGCTGAATCTGATGAGTTCTCTGGATTACTCTTTCAAATAAGCTGTAAACTTGCAATTATTTTCAAAATAAAACAGAAGTCCTTAAAAGCAGCAGCTTCTTTGGGTAGAACTGAAATTTAAATCATGATTCTGATGCCTCTCCAAGTAGGTAGCCTGATTGCCTCCTTTTTTACAGATGAGGAGACTGAAGCCTGAGAAGGAAGGGAATTCGCAGTGGGTCCCAACCTGGATTGGCTATGGCATAGGCCTGATCCAGGGACCCCAGACTGGTAAGCTCCCACTGCTCTCACAGGACTGCCCCTGTGGCACAAGCTGAGTGACCTGTCAAGAGATAGGACCCAAGATTTCTCTGATGTATCCTCCAACCCTTTGATGAACTGGCTGGAGCTCTATGCTAGAGCCCTGCTAAGCCTCACCTCTGGGTCTCTAGGCAACGAAGGCTGAGAGGTTACATTTTATCAGAGAGCCAGCAGGCCAGATGACATGGATTTAGTTCATCTCTCCTCTATCTCACCATCATGGTATCTGTAACAATCTCTGTCCTGCTTAATGCCTATTCTTTTGAGAACCTGTTCCATTTTGGAAGTCAACTCTGTTCTGGGAGGTCACAATAACCCATGCTTGTAGCCACAGTAGATTGGTCTAAGGATGGACATGGACTCCCAAGGAGACAATTTTAACCTTTCTATGAGATTCCTTTGGTTGGATTAGAGAAAGGCAGGTCACAAGCCATGCTGTGACAAGTCTGGTGTGAGGCTCAGGAACCAGACAGTCACTTTCTCAGGAGGAGGAAGCTGGTTGGACAGAAGAAAGCTAAGAAAAGCAGAGATGAGACAAACTATCCTCAAGTCCAGGTGTTTCTGACACCCCCACTATGTTCCATAAATACATCAATCTTATTCCAGGAATTGCTCTTATTTCATGTCAGCTTGTCTGCTGTGCTCTTGTCACCGAAAAACAAAATTAGCACACTTGTACCCCTGGTCACTAGCTGTGCTACCTGTGGGCCTACCAGATTGACTCTGGTAGGAGTGGGTACAAAGGAGGTGGTGTAGAGGCTTTGTCCTGCCGCCTCCAGGTCTTATGGAGGGCCGTGTTCTTAATACTGTGGGCAAGTTCATTAGTGTTCTCACCTGCATCTTACCTGCTAAGCCCTTCTGGAACACGGCCATGTCCTCTTCCTTTCTAGTAAGATCAGGTCATGAAACAAAATCTGTGTTTTATTGAATATCGTTAGAAAGAAATAAGGAAATGAAGCCTCACCCAGCTCTGCTCAGAGGTCCTCAGTGGCAGTCAGAGGAAGAGTCAGGGAAAGGTTTGCACCAACATTAAAGGAGTGGTTACATCTTTTTCACCTTTTCATTATCCCAATCCACTTTCGGTGCTGGGGATGGGACCCAAGGCCTTATGTATGTTAAGCAAACACTCAACCACAGAGCTATACCCCTGGCCTAAGTACACAAGCCTAAAGAATACAATTCTGTGAACACACTCATCTGCATAACCACTACTAAGATCAACAGACTGGAACATCTCCTACTAGAGGCAATCTGGTAGACCCGCAGGTAGCACAGCTAGTACAAGTGTGCCGATTTTGTTTTTCAGTGACAAGCTGACATGAAATAAGAGCAATTCCTGGAATAAGATTGACATATTTATGGAACATAGTGGGGGTGTCAGAAACACCTGAACCTGAGGATAGTTTGTCTCGTTGTCTTTGAACTTCAGGTTGAAGGACCACACAGCAATGCTCTTTTATATCTGGCTCCTTTAACTCAACAAAAACTACCTGGAATGCTGACTTTTAAAAGAAGATGTTTTAAAATTCTATGTGTTAGAGTGTTTTCATTCATTTGCTGTTTTCCTGTATGTATATCTGTGCACAGGCCAGAAGAGGGAGTAAGGTCCTCTGAAACTGGAGTTACTAATGGTTGGAAGCTATGATGTCGGGTCTGGGAACCAAACCTGGGTCCTCTACAATTGTTAGTGCTTTTAACCACTTTTAATCTCTCCAACATTGCTGGTGACTCTACTACTGGCCCTGGCACTCATGATCCTCTTTTCCTACCACTTGTATGCAGTGCCCCTAGATGCCCAAAGTAGACATCAGATCCCTTGGAACTGGAGTTACAGGTGGCTGTGAGCCACCATGTGTGTGCTGGAAACTGAACCCAACTAAAAGCAGCAGGAGCACTGAACAGCCCCAGACACTTGTGCTTTTCATGGAACTCTGTGACAACAGTCCTAATTTCTTCATTTCCTTTTTCACCTCGGGTATTCTGAATGCATTATGAAGGCATTCACTTGAACACACAAAAATAGTTTTAGGAATCTGCCCACCCTCCAACAGTGGAAGAACAACTCAGTTTATAAAACAGGGACCATTCCTTTGGGTTTTGCATATATTGGTTTTGTGTTAGTCACTGCAGGTAGATTGAGCAGGTTTTGGTTTTGTGTTTCATTGTTTGGTTTCTCTGTGTAGTCCTAGCTGTCCTAGAACTCACTCTGTAAACTAGGATGGGCTTAAATGCAGAGACCCACCTGCCTCTGTCTCCTGAATGCTGGGATTAAAGCCATGCAACACCACGACCCAGCTTTGTATTTGTTTTTTAAAACAAGAATTCCAACAGATATGTTTCAGGATAGATTAATACTTCTTTTACCATTGTACTTAGCTTTTAAAAAATCCAGGTACTCAACAGGATTTTCTTTAATGCAATCTACAGAGTTAGTTGGAAAATAACAATGTGCTGGAACCTGCTAGGCTAGCATGTGTTCTCAGTTATGGAGACCTCTTTGCTTCTAAGAGAAGGGATGGAACCAGTGTATACCACTTTTTGTCTTCTGTTGGGCTGAGTCATTGTGGTGTAGTGAATGACATGATGTTATGGGGAACTGCATACAGAGGCTATGTTACATGTACCTTGCTGGACATACCAGCTCTGCTTGGGGAAAACACCTCTCTTCAAGAGAACAGCTTTCTGGGAAGGGGGAAGAGGAGTTGGGCACATAACTTTGTTGGTGGGAGAACAGGACAGTTTGTACAGCATACCAGGAGTAGCCTTTTTAGAAGGTAGGCGTTGTTCAAAGTGAATTAGAACAGGTGAAATCTGCTGCAGTTCACTGACACCTGGGTGTCAAGTGAACACTGGCCCGAGACAGCTCGGGAGACAGCTTAGATGCAAACTTATCTGTCCCACTACTACCAACCAGCCCCCACCCCCATAGTGGCTTAATTATTCTTACTCGTTGGGCACTCCAATTCCTTTCAGGGTTATTCTTTTCAGGTTAAAGCTCATCTGTGAGGTCAGGGCCACAGCAGAAGGAGACAGCACTGAGGTGACTCGTCCAAAACATGGGGTGGAGTAGAAATATTTGCACAGGAAGGCAGGCCAGCCATCTCTAGTTCATGCTAAGTGCTAAGGGCAGGAGTACCTCACATGCATTTTCAGGACTGAAAGCTAGATAGGTGGAGTTAAATCTTTGGAGGCACAAATGAGACAACAAAAAATGTGCTAAACATAAAAGTGGGAGGAGCTGGAGAAATGGCTTAGTGGTTTAGAGCGCTGGATGCACTTCTAGATGACTAGGTTGGCTTACACTGCCTGTGACTCCAGTTCTGGGGAATCTGCTGCCCTCTGCTGGCCAAAAAGCCACCTGCATAGACACACTTTTTTTTTTTTTTTTTCTCAGCCAAACACAAGGAGCGGTTATTTAAAGTGAATAGAATCATCATTCACTCATTTGATAATTCCCTGAAGATCTGCAGAGGGCCAGAGAGTTCAGAACATTTGAGAGGTCCCCAGATTTCTAGAGTTCACCATCCAGAGATGTTTAAGGGGGGAAGTTACATGTGTGCTGGGCCCAGAAAGGGGAAGTTCAGGATGTCTTGAGAGTACTTCATGGAAGAAGCTGATTTGTGCTATGGGGTCAGCAAAAACTTCCCTGAGGAAGCTGGGTGTTGGTGGCGCACGCCTTTAATCCCAGGCAGAGGCAGGCGGATCTCTCTGAGTTCGAGGCCAGCCTGGTCTACAGAGCGAGTTCCAGGACAGCCTCCAAAACAATACAGAGAAACCCTGTCTCAAAAAAACAAAAAAACAAAACAAAAAAAAACTTCCCTGAGGAAATGACATTTAAGCTGAGGCCTCAGGTCATCTGTTAGAAAGCTGTACTAAGTAAATGGTGTGTGTAGGCCCTGAGGTGGGAGAGAAAAACTTGCACACTAGGTAGAAATTCAGAGTTATTAGCATACAGTAATTTGCTTGACTCCGTGGAAATACATTTTTTCCACTTTTTCTTTTGGATTTATGAGTGTTTTTGCTTCCGTGTATGCATGTGTAACACACACACATGCAGTGCCCTCAGAGATGAGAACTGGAATTATAGATGGTTGTGAGGCAACACATGTGTGTGGGGAGCTAAACCCAAATCCTTTGCAAAAGCAACAAGTGCTCTTAATCCCTGAGCCATCTCTGCAGCGCCAACCACTCCTAATTTTTATTTATTATTATTATTTTGCATATGGCTCACAGAACATGCATGGAGGTAGGCCAGATACAACTTTTGGGAGTTGCCCTCCTGCCTCCATTTCCCAGCTCACAAGAGCACTAAGATTACATACGTGTGCTATCGCACTCTGACTTTCAGACTGAACTTGAGTCAACAGGTTTCTGCACTTTTACTCCAAGTCATTTTTGTCCACCCACTCCCCATTTGGTTTTAAGACAGGATTTCACTATGTAAACTAGACTAGCCTTGAACAGGTAGCAATCCTCTTGCTTCTGCCTTCCCAGCACTGGGACTATAAGTGAGAACCACCTTACTAGGCTTATCCAAGTTCATTATTCAGGAGGACTTCAATGCTTCCATGCTCCTGTGTGGCATGGCCACTGGATGGAACCGTCTTTTTTGAGCCTTTTTAGATCTTAAATAGTTTCTACTCAGTTTAAATTTTGTGAGGCTACATTTTTAACTGGTTACTCGCACTGGTAAGTGAAGTGCATACTGACAAACACAGGAGGATCTGGAAACATAAGACATTAATGCATCCTACTTATGGAGATAAATTTTCCTGGGCAAAAAAGCAACTTATGGAGCAAAAGCTTATTTTAGGTCACAATTCCAGGTTACAGCCCATCACTGTGGAGATGTCATCGAAGCATGAGTCTGAGAAAGGCCACATTCACAGTCAAAAGCAGAGGGACAGTGAATGCATGCAGCATGCTTTTAGTGCTTAGTTCTCCTACTCCACTTTTATAAAGTCCAGGGTTCAGTTCATAAAAAGGTGCTGCCCGTTTTCAGGGTGGGTCTTCTCACTTCAATTCATGCAATTAAGAAAACCTCTCACGGGCATGCCCACAGGCTAACCTGATCTAGATAGTTCCCAGTTGAGCTTCTCTTTCCAGGTGATTCTAGATTGTGTCAAGTTCATAATTAAAACCAACCAGCACTGGGATTAGAAAAATGGTTCACAAGTTAAGAGTGCTTGCTGCTTTTCCAGAAGACACAAGTTCAGTTCCCAGCACTCACACTGGACGGCCCACAATTGCATGTAGCTACAGAGGATCCAACAGCTTCCTCTGGCCTCCATAAGCACTAAACACATGCATTATACACAGACACACAGAAACAGACAGACAGACACACTCACCCATATACATGCATCATACACACACACACATGCATACACACCATATGGGGTAGAGGAGGTGGCTTAGTGGTTAAAAGCACTGGCTGACCTTGCAGAGGACCCAGGTTTGATTCTCGGCACCCATATGACTGCTCACGACCATCTGTAACTGCAGTTCCAGGGAATCCAATGCCTTCTTCCAGCCTCTACAGGCACCAGGTATGCACATGGTGCACATATTATGTGCAGGCAAACACTCATACACATAAATAAGTCTTTTTAAAAAAATCTTTAAAATTACCTAGAACAGTGTACAAGGAATTTCCAATGATTTAGTGAAAGTTCTGACAGATGTGAGCGACAACTTAGCTTTTAGTTTCTCCCGCATTTATTTCCTATAAGAATCATTTGCTAAATAGCATTTGTAAGTCAATTTTGATTACACATTTTTCAAGACAAGGTCTCACTATGTAGACTAAGCTGGTCTCAAATTCACAGAGATTTGTCTGCCTCTGTCTTAGAGCTGGGACTAAAGACATGTACCACCAGCTCAAGGTTACAGTGCTTTCCAAATTGCACTGTGCATGTGAAATGCCTGTGGATTCCTGTTACAATGAAGACTTCAGCTTGGATGCTGCACTTTTACCCAGCTCCCAGGTGATGCTCTGTTACAAGTTTAGGGATGTCATTGTGAACAGTGAAGTTTTAGACAGAAGACTGAAAAAGCTGTTCTTTCCTTCCAGAATTAAAGACATTAGTGGTGTGTGAATTGGGGTGCTAAGGATAGGACTTGTACAAGCATGCTACCATTAAGCTACATCCCCAGCACCTGGATGCTTTTATTTGTAACTGACTTTGTAGGTACTGGGGATCTAACTGCTAGTGTGCCTTCTTAGAAAGCAGGATGTCCTGGGTTCCATTATAAACACACACACACACACACACACACACACACACACACACACACACTGTGATTTGCAATGCAGGATAAGAAATTTTAACTTTATTTTTAGTTTTTGTTATACACAGAGTAAGGACTTTGCAATTGAAATCTCCTTTTTCTAGTATTTTCCATGTTGGAGACATTGAAATGAATATCTGGCTTTGCAATTTATTTTAAAGTCAACAGTCTACTATTTTTTTTGTTTTTGGTGTAGGGGATAGAATCCAAGGCTTTATGCCTGGCAGAAAAGCATTCTTCTACTGTGCTCAATCCCCAGTCCAACAAGAATAGAAAAAATGATTAAAAATTTTAATTAAAGAGCTGTACTTACTGTTATCATGGGGAGGGGTTTCATGTATCATGGTGCACTTGTAGAAGTCAGAGGACAACTTTTAGGAGTTGTTTTCCTCCTTCCAGGGTGGAATCTGGAGGTAGAACTCAGGTTGTCAGGCTTGTACACAAAGTACCTTTACCCTCAGAGCCATGTCTCTGGCCCAGGAATACAATCTTAAGAGCTTTATAAATTAGTGTAGAGGGCAGGGGGAGGTCATGAATGCCATTAATTCCAGCACTTGAGAGGCAGAGGCAGGTGGATCTCTGTGAGATCTGATCTATAGTGAGCTACAGGGCAGTTGAGGTACATAGTTCTGAGTTCTTGAGCTGGTTCTCTAACAATATTAAAGATATTAATGACCCTGTTTCTGGTAGTCCATGGCATGATGAGGCATTGGATACTCCTAATCAAATACTGGTCTGAAATGAATGGCCAAGTATCTCTTCTTAGACCATTACAGTGAAACAAAGGCACATGTAGGAAGTTAAGACCTACCAGGTCTCTGAGGGGAGCCAACCTGAAGTCTGTCTAGGACAATCAGAGGTCCTGATTGTGTCTAGCCAATGAGGGGTGACTACGAAATGTCAATGGATCAGAATGCCTGGGTGCTGGGAGGGTATATAAATTTCTTCTCATTGCTAAATAAATGAGTCTGCTGTTTCTCCTTTCATCTGACTCCCAATGTCTGTGTTGTTGACTCTGCACCTTATTATCCCCCTCCTCCAAGGGAGGTGTTAAGACCCAGCAACAGGCACAGAGTGGCTTTGGCTAGTTGCTAATTGCACTGTTATTATAGATTGAAAGTCCAAGTTTAAGCTATGCTTAGATGACCAGAAACTCTGAGATCTGTTCTGAAAGAAATATTCAGTCAAAATTTCTGCAAAACCAACTAGAGCTTCAGTTGTAAGAGGGGCTGATGGAAATGTTTAGAGCTATTGGCAGGCCCATGACAGAAATTGCAATGCAGACCTTTTGAATCTGGGAGCAAAGCCCTTTCTTCTCTGTGGATAAGCATACTCTTCTTAAGATACCCTAGGCTTGCTGAGCATTGGTGAACACTGAATACTGAACCACAAAACAACTAATTACAATGTTCCTTGAATATAAATCAGTGTTACCCAATCCAGTAAGAGATAAAATTGTACACACTTAAATCGGCCTGGAAGGTTGTGGTAGTTTAAGAAAATGGCCCCCAAAGGGAGTGGCACTATTAGGAGATGCAGTCTTGTTGGGGGTGGGCTTTGAAGTCTTTTTCTCAAGCTTCACTCAGTGTGACAGTCAAGTTCCTGTTGCCTCTGAGTCAAGATGTAGGACTCTCAGCTTCAGCACCACATCTGTCTGCATGCCACCCTGATGATGAACTGAATGTCTAAAACTGTAAGTGTGGCCCCCTCAATTAAATGTTTTCGTGTATAAGAGTTGCCATTTCATGAAACTTATTTCAGGGCAAAGACAAAAGGGTTATATGTTGGTGTGTGATTATTTTGACTAGGAAATAATATAATTGGTAATATGCACAATTAGATTGAAATTTTTGGAAAAATAAAAAGAGTTGCCTTGGTGTAAACAGATGTTTCTCTCTTGCCTATCAGTTCCCAAATAACTACTCAAGAGGCTTGATATTTCTTGTAAATGCTCGGTCAATAGCTCAGGCTTGTTACTAGCTAATTCTTACATTTAAATTAACCAATATTCCTTACCTACGGTCTGCCACGTGGCTTTACCTTTTCTCAGTAGGGTGTTCCCTTCTTGCTCTCTCTGTGTCTGGCTGGTGACTCCTCTAACTCTGTCCTTGTCCTCCCAGAATTATGTGTGTTAGGCTGCCTCACCCAATCTCGTCCTACCCAGCTATTGGCCAATCAGCTTTTTATTGACAATAAGAGTAATGCCCATTTACAGTGTACAAAGATTGTTCCACAGCACCATGGTCATGGTGTCTTTTCATAGCAATAAAAACCAAAGACAAAGGTGTAAGTTGCATGAGGAAGTGGCTTCTATACCTTGTCTCTAGCAGCCTGTATCTATTTCCTAAGAATTGTTAATTGTGGAAGAGAACACTAAGTCTGGGTCTAATGCCTCGTATACAATAGTTCTGAATCATATGCAGGAACCAGATGAAGATATACAATTGTTTAAGCTGGTCCCAGGGTCTTAGTTACAATAGGAGACACTAAGCCACTTTTGGCATCTCAATAGGCAAAGACATCCTGTAGAGGCTGCAATGACTAATCCTTATTATTTAGGGGGAAATGAAGTTGCTATGACATATATGTCTGAGTTAACTCTGTACTGTAGTATTAATGCTTTCATTTTACAGGTATCAAAGGTGGAGGGAGAATATGATCCAAGGACTCTGCATCCGCTTCTGGGGAAAGCATGGCTGTTTTTTCATTGTATTGTGTTGAGTGGAAGCATGACTTAGTGTGGTGGTGTGAATGAGAATGGCCCCTTAGGCTCATATGTTTGAATACTTAGTCAGCAGAGAGTGACACTACTTGGGAAGGATTAGGAGGTAGGTCCTTGTTGAAGTAGTTGTGGCCGTGTTGGACTGGGGGTGGGCTTTGAGGGTTCACCCTGGCTTTGAGGCCAGGGCCAGTGGCTCTCTTTTCCTGCAAACTGTGGATCAATTTCTCCAGCTCCATGTCTGCCTTCATGCCACCATGCTCCCTGCCTTGATGATAATGAACTAAACTTCTGAAACACTAAGCAAGCCTCAATTAAACGCTTTCTTATAAGAATTACGTTGGCCAAGGTGTCCCTTCACAGCAATAGAACACTAAGACACTTAGCTTTTCCTTTATCTGGGTTTCTTCATTAAGTATGGATAAGGAGATGAATAAGAGCATGACAGGTGGATCACCAGTCTCTAATTTTAGCCACTCCAATGACAGTGTGTATCTTGTGGTTTGAATCTGCAAATCCCTAGATGACTAATGTTATCTTTTTGTCATTAAATGGACATCTTGCGAAATACTAAAGTCTTTTGCTTACTGATTTATTGGGTTGTTTGTCTTACTATTTAGGGCAAAGGAGATACCTATGTAGTTTAGCTCTTAGCACATTTAAGGCACTGAAGGAGAGAAAAAGGAGTTGTTACATATCCTGGACATGGGACTTTTTTTGGATATATTCTACTTAAGCGTTCATTTCCAATCAATAACTTGCCTTTTTTCTTTTCTTTTCTTTCTTTCTTTTTCTTTTTTTTTCAAGACAAGGTCTTTCTATGTAGCCCTGGCTATCCTGGAATGCACTCTGTAGACCAGTCTGGCCTAGAAATCACAGAGATCCACCTGCCTCTGCCTCCCGAGTGCTGGGATTAAAGGTGTGCACCGCCACTGCCTGGCATGCCTTTTTAATTTCTTAATAGTGTTTATAAATTACATACCTTTTGGTAAAAATTTATCAAATAATGTCAATTGTAGTCCATGCCTTTAAAGTAAGTCTTTACCTTTCTCAGGGATACAAATATTTTTCTAAATTTTCTTCTTTCTTTTCAGTTTTATTTTTTTATTTAAGTTTATCACTCATTTTTAAAAAAATAACTTATTCTTTTACAATTTCATACATTTACTCTTCATCTTCAGATTACTTTTCTTAGTGGCTTCATTCACACTGCCCCTTAAAGCTTCAAGCTCATCCTTACCAGCCTCAAACCTGAGTCAATCCTGCCACTTCCTTCCCCTTCAGCCTCCAATCCATCAACACTTACCTATTTACCCCCAAAACGTTTTTCTCTATGACCACTCTTCTACCTTGCCTTAGCCATCTTGCCAGTAGCCTCCTGACCCCACCCCCAGGCCACTGGTCACATCCCTGCACAATCGTTTAAAATCAGACAAGATGGCCAAGTTACTAGCTTTGCAACTGGCCTCCTGAAACTCAGAAATCCCAAAACTGTCCCTGTGCTTGCTTACCTATCTCTGAGTCACAACTGCAGCCCAGTCAGTGGTCTCCCAGCTCCCTGCTAGCCAGGCTATACCTTCAACCAGTGTACTCTTTCCAATTCCAGGGTTGGACAGTACTCTGTCATCCCCCACTAAATTTCGCCCACTGCGTCTCTACCAGCTCTCAAACTGCGAGGCCAAGGACTCTCTTTATTCCCACTTTGCATTCCCAGATCCTCCGGAAGAAGCTTCCACATCTGGGTGATGGACGGAAATTAAGCTAAAGCATCCGGTATAATTACAGGGATCAGTTTCTTCAGAGGCGATACCTGACGAAAAGGCAGCCCAGCCCGTTAGGTGGAAGGCTCAGGGAGTCAAAGAGAATCCTGTGCGACTAGGGACATGGGCCCCAGAAATTAGCCTTTGCCTGCACCAATCAGGGGCTGAGGATACAAGGAGCTCAGTGGCCGAAGGGCCAAGAAACTGAAGAGACCAAGGGCCGAGGGGTTGAGGATATATCAGGCAGAAAGGCCGAAGAGCACAGACGTCGAAGTGCTCAGATTTTACTCCAGGCAGCGAAAGAACTCACCTGGAGGCGGTTGCACCACCTGCAGCGCCCGCGTGGGTGGGCGGGTCTGAGGCGTGGCCACACCTTCTAGGTCCGGTCACGCCCCCTACGGCGTGCGCGTCTCCGCCCGGCGCCGCCTCGCGCATGCGCCGTCAGCGGGAGACCGAGGTTGTGGGCGGCGGTGGCCACCGGGCGCGCGCTCTCGCTCTCGCCGTCGTTCCCTCGCGCTGGTTCGCGCTCGCGCGACGGGGCCGTGGCAGCGGCGGCGGTGGTAGCAGCGGCTGAAGCGGCGCGGGGGGGGGCGGGCCGGGAGGGGGGGTGGTCCGGGCGGGGATGGACCGGGCGCGGCGGCCGCAGCGGCAGGAGCCGGCTCTGGAGCCCGAGCCGCGGCGCTGGCGGAGACGCCGGCTGTCCGTCGTCTCCCCACCGGTAAGTGACTGGTCCAGGCCGTGGGTGGGGACGGGCGGTCTCCCTAGCGCAGCCCGTAGCGGCAGCCGGGCCTCCTCGCGGCCTGGAGCGGCTTGGACCTTCTGCCGCTTCGGTGGCGCCGAAGCCCCGGGCCTCCGGCTGGACCCTGCATCGCTGGGCCTCCTGAGGTCTGTCACTGGGACACCTTCTCCCCCACCCCCCCTTCCCGGCACTCCCGGGCTCCCCTTCTGGTTGAGCTGAGCGAGGGGCGTGTGAGGACTCGCGCTCAAGACCCTAGGCCTCCCAGCCAGCTGAGGACTTAGAGCCCTCGCTCGCCCGGCCCTGCGGTCCCCAGAAGTTGGCCACCGAGAGTCAGCCCTTGCCACCAAAAACCAGTCGTGCACCTTTTGTTTTGATTCTGAACTTGTGGTTTAACTTGGAGGAGGAAGCCCGCTGTCCTGGGGAGAATCAGTGAGATGGGAGTCTATCTAGGTGGGCCGGGCTTGGCCCTAGGGTGCCCTTTATTTTAACCCTTTTTGTGGAGAGTAGTGAGTGGGCCGCAGCGAGCTGCGCTTCGCTACAAAGCTGTGGATTTCAGCCTCAGCTAAGGTGTGGATGGTTGTTGGTCCAGTGGTCCAGTGTCTGTCGGGACCCTAGACAGCGTTGATGGAGATCCCCTTGGTGGATCTGCTGCGGGGATTTCTAGAGCAGCCCACTTGAGGTGTTGGCGAATATCTTTGCTTTAGTGACACGTTTTATCTTAGTCTGGATGTATTGTAGCTCATATCCTTAAGTTAGGTTAAGTCAAGAAAAGACGACCATGTACCCCATCTAAAATGGTTGTTGTAAGTCTGATATAGTTGTCAAAAAACTCCTTGTGCCACGATCGTCCCTGTGAAAGGCTGGGATTCCTACATTGGCTTTTATTAAAAAAAAAAAAAAAACAAAAACAAAAACAAAAAAAACAACGAAACTCCCAAGATTGGAAAGCAGGTAGGCGCTTTAGAATATAGCATAAATTTAATTTGTTTTTTTGTCCAGTACCTTAAATTTTAGAAGTTAAACTAAAAACCCTTGCCTTTTTGAAGTATATAGAATTTGGCGCACGCCTTTAATCCCAGCACTCGGGAGGCAGAGGCAGGCGGATCTCTGTGAGTTCGAGGCCAGCCTGGTCTACAGAGTTCCAGGACAGCCTCCAAAGCCACAGAGAAACCTTGTCTCGAAAAACCAAAAAAAAAAAAAAAGAAAGAAAAAAGAAAAAAAAAGAAATTGTCACAAAGCCTGAAGGAAAAGAACCTTAATGGAAATGTTAGTGACATCGAATTTCTCCAGGAGTTGGGGTCTACCTTCCACCTTCATTTGCAGATTAGAAGACTGAAACTGAAATTGTGCGTGGGTGATAGTTTTACAGTGTCGTGTAACAGAGATGCTTATAGATGGGTTTTTAACTCAACAATCCCTTGTCCTCCACCAACAGAGTTGGTTAGTGTTTTTTTTTGAATTCACACACCCACTCTCTGGCTAGTAGAGAAAGATTAAAAAGCTGCTTCTGGTTTGTGGGTGGTAACCTTTTAATTTCTAGAGAATTTTCAGCTGCTCACAGACTAGATAGCTGATGAGCCCCATAGGAACATTCTCGATATTAAAAATTAATTAGCACGTGATCTAGGTCTCTTGTTATTATGAACATCTATTAAAGATTTGGCATGGAGTGTTGTGTCCTCTGTACAGGAAATAAGATTTCTCAGCGTATTTGCATCTTAGATAAACAGAAGCACAAACAGCTGTCAGTGCTATGTCACTTTGCAGTAGTCGAGTCTTTCATGAGTATAAAAACCCTGGAGTTCCAGCATCCTGCTCTAGTTGGTGAACAGCAGTACTTTTAGCTGTTTGGTCATCTCTACTAGAGACTTTAATAGGAGAAAGCTTAAACTCTGTGCCATTAGACCATTCACTCATTTATTCACCAGATGTTTACTGAGCCCTTACTTTGGCCCAGAATTCTTGTAGTAAAGGAACAAAACAGACAAGGCTTCTGCCTCAGTAAGCTGTATTCTGTGTGTGGAGCTGAGGAATAGACAACAAATACACAGACAGGACCATTTCACGCATACAAGACAAGCAGTAAGCTCTGCTTTGTTGTTGTTTTGTGAAGGAGAAGTAAATGCTTTAGGCTTTGAGGCATATAGCCTCTGTTGCAGCCAGGCAGCTGTTATTTCAGTATGTACCACAACAGACAGTAGGTAAACTTGGACACTGAAATTTTAATTTCATTTCATTCAGTTTTCACATGTCATGCGATGCTCATTCTTCCCTCCCTCAGCTACTTAAATATGAAAAACCCGAGGCAGGCTGTAACTGGATTCTTATAAAAAAGTTTGCTGTTCCCTAAAAGGGTCTGTGATTGAAAAAATAAATAAAGCTGACGTGACAGATGAGTAACGAGGGCTTAGGTGGAAACCTTGCTAGGGAGAAGGTACTTGAATTGCGGTCTGAAAGATGGAGGAGCTTTCCTGACAAGCAGAAGTGTGAAGATCTGCGTCATGTTTCTTACTTCAAACTTTCCCATACACCATGCCATTCTTGCTTTTGTGTCTTTTATTAAAGTTAATTTATTTCTGCTTCCTGTGAACACCATGGCTGGCTTTGAACTCAGATCCATCTTTTTCCACCTGTGTACCACCATGCCTAACTATTATTAAAATCTTAGGAGTTGAAAGAAAGATTCTCAGTTACTTTCTTAAATTTTCTAGCCTGTATATGAACAGCTTTAATGACAGAAAATTCATGACTTCAAGGTTGTCTATGCTCTTTGTAGATGTAATCATTAGGATGTTCTTCCTTTGAGATTTGACCTTCTTACCCAGGAGTAAGCCTGTAGTGGCTGCACCTCATTCCATGCCTAGGACCGAAGAGTGGTGTGTTGGCAGAAATCACATGACGTGCAAACTGTACTAGGCAGCCCTCTGAACTTAAAAAATATGGTGTGCATATTTTTTTGTACTATACTCATTTAGAGTGCGTATGCACATTAAAGACAATGAGACACTGAGCTTCATTGGAGGAAGGAACAGGGGAAAGGAATTTTTATGTAGATTTGTAGGCCTCCAAACCCCTTTGCTTTTAAAAATAGTTACCTAATCTCTAGCAGAGTGTGGGAGATGGAGAATTCTGATGGCCTGGCTTCCTTTACTGAGACTTCAATTCTATTGTTAAATTAAGTCTCCATCACACTAATAAATGTTTACAGCTGTACCATGAAAGTTAAGGTAACATGTAGGTAAGGGCATGGGACAGAAAGTAGGCAACTTATGTTCTCTGTCCTGTGAAAAGTTGTTGAGTACTTGGCCACCTGCTTCCTGTCTTTCCCTATTGGCATTCCTGTTGTGACTCTAGAGAACAGCTGTCACTTTCTTTGTCCTTGAGTATTGGTCACATCTTACCAGAAGTCAGCTGGTATGTTAAATTGGGTGTGTGCTGTTTTTTTTTTTGTTTTTTGTTTTTGCCACATGGCTCTTAAAGTGTTGAGCATTGCTGTTGTGTTGACTTTCAACTTTATACCCGTCAGAGATGCTTTTTGTTTGTTTTTTGTCAAAGGGAAAAGTTTTTGCATTTCTTTTTTAACATGTATTTATTTATTTGTGATGTCTGGGCTTGTTGTGTATGTGTTTCACAGCACTTGTGGAGATAAAAGAACGATTTGCAGGAGTCAGTTATTTCTACCATGTTGGTTCCAAGGATTGAACCCAAGTCATCAGGATTGTAGCAAGCACCCCACTCCCTGAACTATCTCTCTAGCCCAGTTTTTGTTTTTGTTTTTTTTACACCTTTTGCTGCCTTTTTCTCATTTGTTTACCATTTGGATTGTTGTTGTAAATGTTTGTCACTCTTTTGTTTTGAAGTATGTATTATGATGCAAATTCAGTTTTTTGTTCTCCTTCCTGAAGCCTTCAGACCTTTCTATTCCTACCATTTTTCAGCCTTTTGGCTGAAATCATAGATCAAGTTTCTCACAGTTTCATCTCTATCCTTCAAGCTTTCTTGTATTCTGTGCTGTTTCACGCACACTATCATTACTTTACAATAAGACAAACTTCTTGAAGGCAAAGATCATATTTTAGGCATTTTTTTTTCTTTTGTGGTTCTGGGGATCACACTTGTGTATTCTAGTTGAGCATTCTACTACTAAGTAATATTTACAGCCTTTAGCATTTTTGTGTCTCTGTGTGTGTCCCAGATCCACTGAGTAAAATTACAGACATATATTACATCACAAAATGTTGTTTAAAAAAAAACTAACCTAAACTTATACTGTTAGATTTCTAGAAATATTATGAAGCTAGAACTGAGAATTCTTGTCTATCTTGTTCTGTCTTCCCTTTTATCGACATCTTACATTAATATGGTACTTTTGTTACAAGTAATGAACCAATATCAGTACATTATTACTAAATGCACACTATTGAGCCTTTTTCCTAATGCCCCCCCTTCATTCCTTGGATTCTACCTGGCAAACCTCATTACACTCAACAGTTCCATCTACTCCTCTCCTTTTGCTCGGGGCTATTTCCCAGGCATTCTTTATACTTTCAAAGATTACTGCTCAGGGTTTTGTTGGGTTTGTTTGTTTGTTTTCTTAAGATTTATTTATTTTATGAGTGCTTTATCTGCATTTAGGCCTGCTTGCCCGAAGAGGATATTAGATCCAACTATAGATGGTTGTGAGCCACCGTGTGGTTGCTGGGATTTGAACTCTGGACCTCTCAAAGAGCAGCTGGTGCTCTTAATTGCTGAGCCATCTCTCCATCCTAACTCAGATACTTTTGTAGCATGCCATTCAGTTAGGATTTATCTGTTTCTGTCATGGTTAGACTGGTG